ATATCTCTTGTCCTTAGAGGCTGAATACAGATCTGTTTAATTCTAAACCAAAGCCCACGACCTATAGAATTTTTGCACAACTCTTTCTACATCAGATGGATCAGAGTGTGTACATATCTCTGGATGCTGCAAGTCACAAAACCATTTTAAAAAAAACTGTTTAAATCATGTCGAGGAACCATTTCCTATTTCTTTAAGAATTGTGTCTAATTCGTTTGGTTTTAAAGGTTTAAATTACGAGCCGTACGTCACCGGGATTATTACAATTGTAAACTGGGGGTATTCACAGTGGGTGCAGCTGGCAATGAATTATCAGATTTGATATGAGTTTTTTTATCATTTCTTGGTTCTGGGAGGACGTCATATGGCGTCCTCCCACTCTAACCGCGCATGTATGGCTCCGGGAGCGCGCAGCGCGGTGATCAGTGGTGCACTGTGGCCCTATATCTGATCTCCCCGGACCCTTAGCATTACACTATATCTGGTATCCTCAGACCCTGCATTCACTATATATCTGGTCTTCAGGGCCCTGCATTCACTATACCTGGTCTCCCCGGACCCTGCATTCACTATACCTGGTCCCTCGGACCCTCCACGAAACCATACACTATATCTGGTCTCCTCGGACCCTGCATTCACTATACCTCTGGTCCCCCTCGGGACCCTGCATACACTATATCTGGTCTCCTCGGACCCTGTGCATTCACTATAATGCTGATCTCCCCGGACAATGCATTCACTATATATCTGGTCTTTCAGGACCCTGCACTCACTATATCTGGTTCTCCACGGACCCTGCATTCACTATATCTGGTCTCCCCCGGACCCTGCATTCACTATATCTGGTCTCTCCTGGACCCTGCATTCACTATATCCTCTCTCCCCGGTACCCTGCATTCACTATATCTGGTCTCCCAGGACCCTGCATTCACTATATCCGGTCTCCCCCGGACCCTGCATTCACTATTACCTGATATCCCAGGACCCTGCATTCACTATACCTGATATCCCAGGACCCTGCATTCACTATATCCACTCTCTCGGACCCTGTATTCACTATATCTGGTCTCCCCAGACCCTGCATTCACTATATCCGGTCTCCCAGGACCCTGCATTCACTATATCTGGTCTCCACCGGACCCTGGGCATTCACTATATCTGGTCTCCCAGGACCCTGCATTCACTATATCTGGTCTCCCAGACCTTGCATTCACAATATATCTGGTCTCCCAGGACCCTGCATTCACTATATCTGGTCTCCTTGGACCCTGCATTCACTATATCTGGTCTCCCCGGACCCTGCATTCACTATACCTGGTCTCCCCGGACCTGCATTCACTATATCTGGTCTCCCTGGACCCCTGCATTCACTATATCCGGGTCTCCCACAGTACACAGAACATGGAAGTCCAATTATTTTCTATAAATATAAACTACTAAATACCTTTTCTCATCAACCAGTATATAGCTTTCTTGTGACTACATCTATCAGTGTCCAGCAGAGCACTGGTTAAAGCTGTGGAAGAAGTTTTCATTCTCTCTCAATCATCCTATGAGGCTGCATGACCCCTGACCCCTGGAGAGGGGTTACACCCAAACTGAGTATGCACAGCTTGCCCTCAAGGCTCTGTACTATCAGCAGATGGATTGGGGACAGTAGAAGAAGGGGTGGATCAGAGAAGACAGGATCAAACAGCCTTTTTACACAATGCAGAAGATAATCCCTTAGGTTCCACAGTGAGAATAACAAGCATGCTTTACTGCATATACAGACTGATTGTACTGCTGTGGGTTTAGTCCCCAGTCACACCAGTGCGAAGTTTAATGAGATTTGATAGTTTCAAATCACATGAACAAGTCACACCCTATTGTTTGTTATATTGGTGCGATTCCGACTCCGGCTGGAGTCGCACCGATTTGAAGAGTACTTCATGCACTACTTGTAAAAAGTTCAAGGTGTGACTCGCATAGACATTTGTACATGAAGTTGCACAGATGTCTTCCAAGTGGCACCCGAAGTCAGGACTGACATCCGACTATGAAATTGTGTGAACTCAAGTGAAGTCGCACGATTTCAAAGTCAGATTTGGTGTCACCGAAGACTCTGTAACACGTTAATATCATTCGCAATGGTCTTTGCTGTTTTTATTTTCACAATATTTAAATTATTTATTCATACTTTGTAACAATCCTCTGACAGTGTGCACTGTGTGAAATATAATAGTTTTAGGGCATTTTGGATGAAATGTTTTAGTGAAACAGGTAAGATGATAAACAGATCTTCAATCCTCTATATCTGCCACACGTGGGAATTTTATCAATCAAACCATACGGCCATTAGGGCGACTGTCCATAGACATGCTGGCTATAGGATCTGTTTAATTGCATTTGTAATTGGCTAAGGCTGTGTGTCATTGGACAGAACCCCTCCCACTTCTGCTTCAGGGTATAAATTCAGGACGACAGCAAAAGCTGAACCCTTCACTGAGCAGCTCCCAGATCAACCATGAACCTCCGTGTGGTCGCAGTCTTGCTGTGCTTGGCAGGTATGACCATGGGAGGCAAAACAAGGCACCTGTTCAGGGGGGCGGTGCTGTGCCTCAGAAGAAGTCAGCAATGTCACTACAGCAGAGGAATCCAGTGAGGAGTGGGAGTAGTCAGGCCTCCCCTGGACACTGCTGTCCTCACGGGATCATCTCAGTCCTGGCTCCCCACCACCATGCACTGCGGAGAGCTCCGACCCTCAGAGCAGCCTACAGCCTGGCCAGGTGCACTGCATGGCTGGGAGTTGTAGTCCTTTCCCCCGCCTCCGACCTGCCACCTCCCATAGGAGTGAAAGTGACTACAATCCTGGCAGGGTGTGCGGGGACAGGACTACAACTCCCAGCATGCAGTGCGCCAGGCCAGGCTGTAGGCTGGCTCTGAGGGTTGGAGCTCTCCGCAGTTGATGGTGCTGGGGGAGCCAGGACTGAGTTATGATCCTGGAGGACGGCCGTGTCCAGGGGAGGCAGGGATCTCTGTCACTGAGAGGGAGGGAAATGTGGCTGTGAGGAGGATACATACCGGCAGTACATGTGCTGCCCCCCTCGGGTCCCTGCCCTCCACCAGGCCTGGTGGAGTGATCTCCATCCTACTGCTGTGTATATCATGTATACTATGGGAGAAGGGGGAGGGCTGACAGACTGCCAGTGACTGACTCATGCCACTAAATGACACCTTCATGCCGCTCATACCACTAACTGACACCTTCACAGAAAAGATGTGGCTGACCACTAAGTTCTGCCCAGCAAACCTTGGTGCACTGGGGGGGGGGGGGATTTTTGTGTTGCCTATGGCAGCACAAAACCTAAATACACCATGGGTGTGACATTTAATTGTACTATACAATAGTTTTGTGGTGTGGTGGTTTTTTTTTTTTTTTTGTTTTTTTTTAATAAATGGAGTCTATTTAAAAAACCATCCATTGGACAATTGTCACAAGCATTTTCCTCATATCTTTTAATACTAAAGACTTCCTATGATCACCAGCTCCATCTAGTGGCCAAAATGTATTATAGCCTAGTTGAGGTGTTTAAATATACTGCATTTTGGCCACTAGATGGAGCGGACGATCATAGGAAGTCATAATATAAGAGGAAATATGGGTAAAGTGTAAAATTCGTGCAGCCTGAGCAAATGCTTCATCCATTGATGAATGTTTTATAAATAGACCTCTAAGTAATGCTAATTAACAATTTTGATTTAATTTGTAAAAAAATACTCAATGGAAATGCCATACATGGCTGCTGTGCTTCTGTGGAAGTGGAACTTTTGACCAATGTTGTTACAAAATGGAAGATATAGTCATCCCTATCTATAAAATGTGTTTTTGAAAGCTCTGCTTTTTCACTGCTCTGCTGTATATTATAAAAAACTGGATTCCAGGGCAAATGTAAAAGACACAGAATAATGCAAATTGTATTAATCCGGGCTTTTATTTCTCAGAGAAGAGGTCCAAGTTACCCCTTGTCTCCATCCCGGAGTTCCACCCCTTACCTACCTCCCAGTACCACACCCTTTAACAATACAGAACCAAATATCAATTGGTATGGAATTTGTAATAACAAGGAAAAGCAGCAAAATAGATCCCTGCAGCCAGCAACAATAGACCCCCCCCCCCCCCTGCAGCAATGGACCACACTGCAACAATAGTCCCCAGGAGCATCGACAGATCTATCCAGTCAGCCTCAACAGATCCTCCAGCAGCTAACAATAGACCCCTCCTCAGAGTAGATCCCTTCTTGAAACAATTGACCACACACAGACATAAGAACCCCCCCCCCCAGCAAAGTAGAGCCCCCACCATAAACAGTAGACCTCCCTATGATCATTAGACTCCTTGCAAAAGTAGATCCTCCCAGCAGACTGCATCAATGGACCGTGTGCAGTACACCCCACCACCCCTTGCCATTTCATACTTTCAGTGCTGGAGGTTCCCCCACGTTCCAGCTGACAAGGTCCTGATATTAATACAACATTTTATTTTCCAATGCAATTTGACCTGATATCAGCCACTAATAGTGCCAGCAGAGCTTAGACTGGGGGGGAGGGACTGTACAGCAGAGCTTAGACTGGCTCCTTTGTAAGCTTCTCTTCTCCCCCCCCCCAGTTAGCTCTTCTGCAATGTCCATGTGTTGGCAAGAGAACATCTTGATAAGAGATGAGCTCATCAGTCTGCTGCTTTCTCCTTTACTGTCCAGTCAAAGGCTGAGGGAGGGACAAGAACTTAAAATGTTAACTGTAGCAAAGAAAAAAGCAGGTCTTCTGCCCTGCCCTGCTGCATGGCAGAGCTGTGTAAATCTCAGATCTGGGTGAACAGAGCTACATATCCTTTGGTAGGTGAAAAGCTCTTTTATATTTCATCTGTTTTAGCTGAGAGCCTGGAGTTGAGCTTTAAGCAATCTGCTGTTGTAGTGGCTGCACCATAAAACTGGTTCTAATCTCAATCTTTGACTGCAGTTGCCTTTGATGACAAGATTGTTGGAGGTTACACCTGCACCCCGAACTCCGTTCCCTACCAGGTGTCCCTGAACTCCGGGAATCACTTCTGTGGGGGGACCCTGATAAGTAGCCTGTGGGTGATCTCTGCTGCTCAATGCTACAAATCGTAAGAGCAATTTTTCTCCTTTAAATCCTGTTTTTTTTGTGTTTGTTTTTTTTTTTGTTCAACAGTCATCAGCATAGCTCTCTGCATAAATACAAGGTGCTCAGGGGTGGGGCTAGGGTTTTCTCTCTATGGTAGGTGGTCCTGACAGATGCAGAAAGTGGTGCTGTCATGATGACATCAGCATATCTCTGCATGAATACAAGGTGCTCAGGGGTGGAGCCAGGGTTTTTCCCTGCAGTGGGTGGTTCAAACTGATACAGAAAGTGGTGATGACATCAGCAAAGCTGTGCATGTGTACAAGGTGCTCAGGGGTGGGGCTAGGGTTTTCTCCCTGTGGTAGGTGGTTCTAACAGATGCAGAAAGTGGTGCTGATGTGATATCAGCATAGTTTTTGCATGGATACAAAGATGCTCAGGGGTGGGGCTAAGATGCACTGCGATCACTCTATCCTTAGTTGTATTGGTTGACTAATGCTGGGAAAACTGAGAACATTTTGTGGTAAAGAGGTACTGTAGACAGCAGATACTTTTTTTTTTTTTTTTTTTTTTTTTTTGGGGGGGTATTAAATGCCCAGAACTGAAGCTTTAATCTTCCCCCAATTGCCTAATTATTTATTATTCAACTTAAGTGCTAAAATTGAGCACCTAAAGGCACACTGGTGCTATGTAAAAGACATGACGTTACATAAAGGAATAAAGATCATTATGGCATGTGATAAATAAATATGTATGTTTTGCTAATTTTTTCAGGAGTATTCAGGTCAGACTAGGAGAACATAACATTGCTGAGCAAGAGGGCACCGAGCAGTTCATAGACTCCGCCAAGGTCATCAGACATGAACTCTACAACTCCCCGAACTCTGGACAATGACATCATGTTGGTCAAACTCTCCAAGCCAGCCTTTGTGCAGCCCTACATCGAGGCCGCACCTCTGCCCTCTGCCTGCGCTGACGCCGTGGCTACCAACTGTCTGATCTCTGGATGGGGCAACACTCTGAGCAGCGGAAGTAAGTCACAAAGTATTTACTAGTCTTGTGGACATCTAAATCTTGGAAAGTATCATACTTAAAAGATTTTTTGCATAGATTTTTACTCTGTACCCAGGTCACCAATAACACTAAATAGTGTGAAATCTTGGAAGGGTCAAACATAGAAGATTCATTTTATGCTGACCTATCTTTGTTTTATTTTCCTTTTTAGCTGATGATCCAGACCTTCTGCAATGTCTGGATGCCCCAATTTTGTCCGATCACCAGTGCCAAAACTCTTACCCTGGTAAAAGCTCAGAAAATGTGTTTTTGTGCTGGCTATCGGGCCGGTGGAAAGGACTCCTGCCAGGTAATCTGTGCCGGTTTTTGTACTTGTATATCCATCTGTGAGTAGGGTAGTACTATATCCTCAAATGTACAAGAATATAAAAAAAAATGGGGAAAATCTGGTTTTGAGGTACCAGAGACAACCAAATATATCAGATGTATATCTTGTGATGTTATTGGAGGTTTCACTTAACTGTGGTGCTTACCAATGAGTTCAGTCCAGCCTGGGAATATGGGTTTAGGGCTATTGGCCCATTTAAAAGAAAAAAAATAAAGTTCCTTACATCAGGATTCCCAAAGAGGGGGGGGGGGGGGTCAGCTTTAAAGAAACAGCCTCCTGGCTATTTAGCAGCTCACCTTTGGCTACACAGCTCTCAGCCTGGGATGCATTTCTATCCAGAACACACTATGCTTCTGCACACACTGAAACTCCAGTTGTCAGCCTGGACATGCAGACGTCTGCTCCCTGCAGCGCTGGCCTATGCCCTGAGCAGGTGACTTCCTGTCTCCTGGGTGGGGCCCTGAATGGCAGACAACCCCTTGACCAAAAAGGACATGTGTGCTCCTAGACACACAGCCTGCTGGTCCTCAGTAAAACTTGGAACTTCATCCCTCCAAAGACTCCTTGAAGCCTCTAAATTCCAGAACCAAATGTGAGTTGCAAAATACAGAGAAGTGGAAGACCAGTTTTCTCAGCTTAGAGCATCCATTCTGGAGGACCTCAGTCTGTATTAATGAGAACCCTGTGTGCCTATTCGTTCTGTTTCTTTTCAGCAATAGATCATGTCTAATAGTGCTCTACTGCTCTAGCCACAGGCTAGACAGGTGTAACAGGCCTCTATACTCAGAGGAAGTGCTGTAGTGTCACTGTATTCCCCATGTAAACACAACAGTGAACTGTGTTTTTTACATTCACGCCTACAATGCGTTTTTTATTTATTTCAGGTACTTGTATAGCGGTGTCAATTTAAGCAGCGCTTTGCATAAACTGTATGTTGTACATTCACATCAGCCCCTAATGCTAAAGGGGCGTACAATCTAAGGTCCCTAACTCACATTCATACATACACATACTAGGGCCAATTTAGACAGCCAAATTTACCTACCAGCATGTCTTTGGAGTGTGGGAGGAAACACACGCAGGCACTGGGAGAACATGCAAACTCCAGGCAGGTGGTGCCGTGGTTGGGATTCAAACCACAACCCTAGTACTGCCAGGTGGCTAACCACTGCCCATAAGTCTGTATGAAAATTGAAGGGCTAGGAGCTTATAGTTTTCAGCTCCTGGGCTTACTGCTGTGCAACCATCGGCACTGACAACTGGTGGTTTTAGTTCCAGTGCTGTCAGGAGCCACTATCCCAGCACTGTTTTTAAAATGGTGGATGGAACTTCAGTGGTTTAAATTTAAACTGAACCTTCAGTGTAAATCAACTGAATACATGCCATGTGCACTCAAACTATGTTTAAAGAAAATGAAAGTTGGGCTTTAAACAGTCACATCCTGAATCGAAAACCTTGTCCCCTGCCAGCATAATCTGGCGATGTTCCCTTCCCTTGTGGGGAAGCATTGGTCTTTCTGACGAAGTCTGATACATCCTCTGAGTCGGACCTAATTCTCCAATCAGCAGGGAGAATGAGCTTTGCTGATCACAGGTCTGATCCTGCTTGGGTGTAGAAGACTTCTGCAGAGGGACCATTACTTCCCCACAGAGAGCAAGGGCCCCACTCTGCAGATGCTGGCAGGGGATAGGCATGTCTATTTAGGCTGTGACTGCTTTAGAAAGAAAATGAACTTAAGATAGTGAACATCTTTTTGAATTTGTTTACCTCTGGAATGTATTTAGCTGCCTTAAACTGAGTTCAGTGGGCTTTAAGTATTAAACAAGATATACCACGGGTTAGCCTTCAACACAAAAGAACCTTTGAAATAAGTTTCTGGTCTCAGGGAACCCCTGCTGGAACTTACTATACCTACAACTCATGATATATTCGTGTGATGGTCAGTGGGAAGAATGTTCCTTACACTTGTGGTCATTGGAAAGAATTATCCCTTTTTTAGAGCTAAAAGATCAATGGTGTCAGCGGGAACCTGAGAGGTAGAAATTGCTAATTGCCCAAAGAACTGATGGCCTCCACTGGAGGAACCTTATGGCTCCATGAAACCTGCCACAGGTAATTGTTCTCCCAAGGAATTAATTTGCTCTGAAATAAGATCATTTGCCCAGACAGCACTGCTGCAATTATGCAAACTCTATTAGTTTTACATCTGCTAAAAATGAGATTGTTCTTCAAAATTCGGTTTACTACTTTGAAGATGACTATTTGATCTGAACAATCTGTCTCCTCAGGGTGACTGCGGTGGCCCCGTGGTATGTAATGGAGAGCTCCAGGGTATCATCTCCTGGGGATATGGCTGTGCTCAGAAGAACTGCCCTGGTGTGTACACAAAGGTCTGCAACTACGTTGACTGGATCCAAAGCACTGTGCTTAACAACTAAACCTTTATCTAGAAGGATCCTTCCTAATGATCGCAGAAATAATTTGGAATTGCTATCTGCATCAATGAATAAATTAATAATGGTCTAAACTATGGTGTGTGGGTTTTGTGTGTGTGTGTGTATATATATGTGTGTATATATATATATATATATATTTTTTTTTTACCTATAAATATATTTAGTTTCCAATTAAGGGTCAGATTATGTTAATGTTGAGCTCCCGTCAAACCGCTAAATACACGGGTGAAAAAACATTAAAGGGCAAAAGGTTAATACCAAAATAAATTAGGTACCCAAACGTCTTGCAATAAAAAAGCACCCCAATTAACTTTCACTTAAGGGACGCAAGGACTGCAAATGTCCTGACCTATGGTGAGGCCTAGTACTGGACTCAAACCACATGAATACAGAGACACAACTCTAGTCCCTGCATGTACAGGTGACTCCTTAACCACTTGCCTACCGGCCACTTCTACCCCCTTCCTTACCAGGCTAATTTTCAGCGCTGTCGCACTTTGACAATTGCGCAGTCATGCAAGATTGTACCCATATGAAATTGTTCGTTTTCTCAAATGGAGTTTTTTTTTTTTTTTCCCCTTTTGGTGTTATTTATTCACCACTGAGTGATTTACTTTTTGCACTATAAATGAAGTGCAAAAAATATTTGAAGAGAATTATTTCTATTAAATTTTGCAAACAGGTAATTTTTCTTCATCACTGATTTGCGTTCATGAGGCAGCACTAATAGGCAACACTGAAGGGCACATAGGCAGCACTAGTGAGGTGGCACTACTGGGCACCAATCATCAGGGCACTAACCATCGGTGTCCTGATCGGTGCCGATCCCCGTTCTGACAGCTGCCGGTTCTTGGCAGTACTTTCCTCACGCTCTGACAGCGTTAGGAAAGTGCAGCTGAGAACTGGCAATTGCATTTCCCTGTGATCAGTGTGTCATTGGACATGGCTGATCATGTGGTAAAATGCTGCTATGATTGGCCTTTTACCACATCAGGTGATCAGCTGTGTCCATAGGACACAGCAATTGCCAGGGGCACGCAGGAGAGCGTGTTCTGGGAGGACATCATAGGACTGCCTCGCCGCAGTGTAGCTGTCATTCATATCTGCGGTCGGCAACTAGTTAAGAACCACCTAAAACAAGGAACTTAGGGAAATGATCCAGCACCA